AAAAAAAAAAAAGATTGTGATAAAATATTTTGCCATATTATTTGTCCTTGAAAAATCTCTGCTTTAGAGTGCAAGCAACCTGAGACTGGGGTGATGTTCACCTTTCAGCAATACAATGACCCTGAGGCATCTTAAGGACAAATCACTGGTTGTCCTTGAGTGGCAAAGCCCAGGTTTAAAACCTCACAGAACATTTGTGGAGAGATGGCAGTTCACAGACGCTTCCCATCCAATGTGATGGAGCCTGAGAGGCTCTGTCAAGAACAATGGGCTAAATGGTACAAATCCAGGTGTGCCAAGCTTGTAGAGACTTGTGCAAGAAGATTCAAAGATGTAATTACTGCCAAAGGGGCTTCTACAAAATACTCAGGGTCTGAATACTTGTATAAATGAGTGAATTCAGTGTTGAATTTTAGTAAATTTGTAAAAGTGTATCATTCTTTGTCATTATGGATTATTGAGTGCAGACTGATGTACAAAATGGCAGTTTTATTTCTTTGAAATCTATAGCACAATAATGAGCGCAAAACGAGAAAAGGTCTGAATATTTGCTAAGTCAGGTTTATTATTGAATCACAAAATAACCAATTATCATTCTGACTCAGACTATAACACAAGAGGATACTGATGACTCATATAAAACTAAGTGGCAACAAAAGTGTTGGGAAAATAGGCATACAGTATGTTCATTTCAAAACTGACACTTGTTCAGATGATTCAGAGACAATGTGAAACACTTACTTATAATTGTGTCCTCTCCTGGCAGCAGACACACATCTGCCAACAATTCCATCTTCAGAGACTCTCTGGAGGTCTACAAACACACAGAATGATTTATTACTTTATATTTGCATTTCATTACATCCAAGGTGTACTCTCAGTGGCAAGGTAAGAACGTGAGAGTAGACCCACCAAGGCTGGAGACTGAACAATTCTGGAAGAACAAAGCATCACATAGCAATGTCCAGTGGCTGGTGGACCTGAGAGCAGACCACAGACCACATCAACCCCCCCTGAACAAGATCCAGTAACCATCACAATGCCAGACATCCAAGAGAGGGTCTCAAGTATGAGGAGCTGGACATGGACCCTGACATGATCCACGCCTACTGGTTAAAGAAGCTAACTTCACTCCATGAGCACCTGGCGGGACAAATGCGCCAGCTACTAATGGATGGATGGAACCCACCCTGAGTGATTAACTGAAGGCCGGACAGTCCTGATCCTGAAGGACCCTCAGAAGGGAGCAGTACCATCTAACTACCGCCCAATAACCTGCCTCTACACAACATGGAAGCTCCTGTCAGGCATCATAGCAGCTAAAATGGGAAGGCACATGGCTCAATACATGAGCAGCACCCAGAAAAAAATTGGTAGTAACACCAGAGGAGCAAAGCACCAGCTACTGGTTGATAAAGTAGTCACTCGAGACTGCAAGACCAGACATACCAACCTGTGCACTGCCTGGATGGACTACAAGAAAGCCTATGACTCAATGCCTCACACATGGATCCTGGAATGCTTGGAACTGTACAACATCAACAGGACTCTAAGAGCCTTCATCAAGAATGCAATGGGAATGTGGAAAACAACCCTAGAGGCCAACTTCAAGCCAATTGCACAAGTCAACAAGTGCGGTATATACCAAGGAGATGCTCTGTCCCCGCTGCTGTTCTGCATAGGCCTTAACCATCTCAGCCAGATCATCACCAAGAGTGGTTACAGACACAGACTACGGAATGGAGCAACCATCAGCCACTTCCTCTACATGGATGACATCAAGCTGTATGCCAGGAGTGAACGAGACATCGACTCACTGATCCACACCACTAGGATTTACAGCCAGGACATTGGAATGTCATTCGGACTGGATAAGTGTGGTCGAATGGTAACAAGGAGAGG